CATTTCAACAGATTTCGGCTGGGAATACTTATTTTTAACTTGCGCACCAATTACGGTGCGCTCCCGGACTTTGTCTATGGAGGTAAGCAGGGCTGTGGTGGGGACATCTATCAACCGAACGCGTCCCCGTACACACAGCACTGTACGCAGGGCTAACCTGACTACAGTGGCATTACTGATGGCCGGGAAACCGATTCTAAACAAACAGGTGACAACCTGGACAGCCATTTTTAGTTAATATTTAGACATATGCCAGAGATATGTGCACACGGAGTGTACTCTGTAGTGACACAGTCCGGACATCGACTGACATTCGATTAAAAACAAACAACCAAAGCGTTGACGACAGTGAAGTTCGATTTTCGAACGGAAACAAACGCATTGTGGTTTCTCGTATTCTTATTGGCTGGGAAGTTATACGGTTATATCATTATGGTAGTAGGGGTGCTTGGATTAAATCATGTGAATGATAAATCGTGGGGGTATTCCTGAACAGTTTCATATGTCAGAAATGTTGCAGACAGGGACTTTTAGTCCGAAATGTAGTACCACACTGTGACTAACCAAGACGTTTTAGACGTGTTCTAAAGAGAGGAATGAACACAAACGTTGGTGTATATATCGGTATAATGCCTTTTATTTTTGTCGATCGTGATTGATAACATTTTATTATTGGCTATTATATTGGGCATTGGGCCATGAACCAAATTCTCACGGTTTTCCCGAGTAGTGCGTGGGGAATCTAGTTGATTTTGCCGATCAGTGACGTTATATTTGGATGGACGAGCAATTCGGTAACACTATGATACCCTAACACACAGAAAATTCACACAGGTGGAACAATCATTCGATCATTGGCAATACGTTCTGATTCGGATATGTCGCGAATACCGTAATGGTTGAATATTATCAAAGGCTTTCAATAAATATATGCAATAATACAACATTAAGGATAACGTGTTCCAGGACACTGCTATGGAAGGTGAAATATTTACTGGGTTTAATTTTAGGGGATTTTATATTTCATATTTACTGGGTTTTATTTTAGGGGATTTTATATTTCATATTTACTGGGTTTTATTTTAGGGGATTTTATATTTCATATTTACTGGGTTTAATTTTAGGGGATTTTATATTTCATATTTACTGGGTGATAATTTAGCGTATTTATCTATTATCGAATTTGGCGAAAAC